AACAATACTATTAAGACAATAATTATAATTAAAATGCATTTTAAATTATATTTATAACTTTATGAATAATAATTATTCAGTTAAATTATTTTAACAATTGTGATATAAATCAATACTCTAATTAAGAGCTCTTAGAGCATTTTAAATTATATTCTTTTTTTTTTAAATCAGATGATAGTTAAAACTTTGACAAAAAATGCCAAATATAAGTATATAATTAGAAAACCCTAGACAGGCCTTAGTTTAGCAGGCCCAGTTCAAGTCCTAGGCCAGTATCAGATCTTGATCCACCTAAGTTTGGGAGAACTTCTATTGTGGGAGCCCATTTATATAAATCAAATTATTTGAAATAAATTAAACAAAGCCATGCTTTTGAAAATTCAAACTTCAATCGAAGAAACTTTATTGTAATTTGATGGAAATTAAACCTATAAAATATTATGTTAATATTTTTATCATATGCAGAATATGATTTTTTTTATAAATATAGAAATAATCATTTCTTACAAGGAATATTCATCAAAATTTAAAATAAAGCTTATTTGGTTGAGCTCCAATTTTTTTTAAATGCCAAATTAATTAGAAAGTTGCAATATTAACAAATGTTGGTTGGATCTAATTATAAAATGGTGAATTTTTGCTCAATAATTTGGAGTTAGGGGTGTAAGTCAGGCAGACTCATGAATATGCTTTAGCTCAGCTTGATAAATAGCTCATAAGCCGAATTTGATAAGCTAACGTGCCAAGTTTAAGACAATATCGACTAAATAATTTGCTTGTGAGAAGAGTTGTTTTAAAATTATTAATGTAAAATACTCTGCAAATGTATAACAATTCAAGAGTTTAAGTGAGAAGTCTTATTTTATTATTGTTTGATTGAAGATTAGGTTAAAATCAATTATTTAAGCCAATTCATGGTGATTAGAACTCTAATATTGGTGTATTCTATACTGTCAAACAATACATACAACTTTAACATTCACCTTTAGCCAATGATCACTACCATCAACAAGATTATTGCACTATATATATCTCGCTAAGGCTTTGCTTGTAATATTTTCTTTCTAATTTATAAAGCAGCTTGTTAGTACAAAAAATTCTTAAAATTAAAATTTTTGTACTAAAAAATTGCTTTTAAAAGCAATGAGAAAGCTAGCACAATCGATGCATAAGACTTCGTTTGAGACAACTTTCTTACTACTTTCTAAAACAACTTTCTAGTACACAAATTTATGGTTTAAGAAATTTTTGTAAAAAAAAAACTTTAAGAAGCAATAAGAAAGGCATTCCAAAAAAAGCATAAGTTTATTGAGATTTTTTTATCCATTTAGCATGCCATAATTCGTGCTAATTTGCTTTAGAGATCAATCAACCTAAGAACTCCAAACATGCATAACATATAGCTCATTATCTTTTCCTATGTAGTAGTAAGCTTATCTTATTATTTTTTTGTTGGGATGATTTTTTATTATTTTCTAAAGAAGTTTCTTAATACAAAAATTTATATTTCAAAAATATTTTATACTAAAATTAGTTTTATAAAGCAATATAAAAACTATCCCAAATAAAGCCAAAGACTAACTTATAGATGATGAAAGAGAAAAATCCACTATACTCTTGATATGATAAAGTAAACTATTAAAGTGATACTATAGCCCTTAAGTTTGAATTATTGATCTATTAATAAAAATTGTGTTCTTAAGAAGATTACATTATCAAACATTATGAAAAATTACAATAATAGAGATGACAAAAAGACTAACTTATAGATGATGAAAGAGAAAAATCCACTATACTCTTGATATGATAAAGTAAACTATTAAAGTGATACTATAGCCCTTAAGTTTGAATTATTGATCTATTAATAAAAATTGTGTTCTTAAGAAGATTACATTATCAAACATTATGAAAAATTACAATAATAGAGATGACAAAACATTTTAAGATAGATAAATAATTTAGATAAAGATATTTTAACTCAAATTTAATTGAGATAAATCTTATAGTTATTAAATTTATTTTAAAATAATTATAATTTATTATATTATATTCATTTCTTAATAAATTTAATCACCAAATAAAAATTCATTCTGATATCTTTATCCAATGCATAGAGAATTGAAACCAACACTCCCAAATGAGTAATAATTAGAAAGTAGACTAAATAATATAAAATTGGGTCATGCTTGTAAAGGCTACAAAGAAGGTGCCTAGGCATTAATTATTAGAGAGGAATAATTAGTAACCACTATTAACAGTTACAACATTTTGTGTTGGGACACATGTCAAGAAGTCCTCACACAAATGATAATAGAGCTAAGGGCATCAATAAATGATCTGATCTAAGTCAATCCAACTCAAATGGTCTAAAAATTTGAATCTGATTTTACTTGTTTGTTAAGCTAGTCGAGTTCGGGTTGATCCAAAACTCGCTTTTGAATAAAAAATGATTCTTTTAATAACTTTTTTTCTTAATTTTTTTTTTAACTTTTGGGTATAATCTTCGTATTTTTTATCCAAAAATATAATCATTATTGTTATTGATTTTTTTTTTTT